TACGTGTTGCTGTGACGTTGCTTGGCTTTTTCCCAGAGACATGCAATGCCACCATCACTTCTTACTAAGATCGTTATCTGTTAGAGCTGTTTGAAAAACTGTTAACATTTTTCCATGAAAATATTTCAATTCCATTGGTTCCCTACTACAACAATCCCACTATAGAATCGATCAGACTGTGGCTTCTTGACAATTCAGTGTTTGCTTCCTACCGCAGAATGTGCTTCTGGGAACAGGCGATGGCAGGGAGTGGCACTCAGAGCTGAGAACTCTCAGGTTATGCCCATCTTTGTTGCAGCCCATTTGCAGCTAGATAAGTGCAAGAACATCACATTTTTACCATGATCACCAGAGTATGTCACAGTTACTATAATGCAGCTAATTCTGAGTTAATTCTGCAGTTATGAAATATTGTGAAAGCTTTAACGTGAGTTACTGTACAGTTTCCACTCTCTCTAAAAGGTCGATGGTGGGCCCAAACCCAAAATCACATATTCAAGATGCCCTATCTTTGGGTAGGTTCAGACCTAGATCTAGACATCATGTGTGGTCCCACATCTTGTTGCTGGGCTGAACCAAAACACTTGATAGAGCAAACCTGAAGTTTAAGAAATTCTGCTCAGACTATGAATCCCAACTGTACTTTGAGACTCTCTCTAAAGCAATGCTTCTACATATAGAGGATTTACCTACATGCTGCTGGACATAACACGAGAGGGCTGTGTTTTGAAAACTAATGTTGCTTTTTCTTTAGGAACTATGTATGGAGACATGAGTGGATCAAGGATTTTGAAAAGGGGGTTAGATATTGTTTCATTAGTCCTGTAGTCATTACAGTTAAATGTACATTGCTTATGCAGATTCGGAATATGTGATCTAGTCTTCCTGAGTGCTTTGACAGTGCTAGAGCTAAAAACAGTCTGAAGGGCTGTGAAATAGAGAAGAGGGATTGCCTGGAATGGCTAACAGACAGCAAAACTGCAGAAGGATAGCTTGATTAATGGAACACCATTAAAAAGGAGAGAGGGTCGTTAATATTTGTGGAGTGAAGAAGAGAGATTAGCAGGAGTCAGGTAGATTATAATGAGCCATGAAGTCAGTTAACCCTCCAGCACTGCCTGAATAGAAATGCTGCTGCCTTTCTCAGGCAGTTGGTTTTAAACTTTGGGTAGAGCAGGAATCACAAGTGGGTGTAACTGCACCACTGCACCCTCCTGAATCCACCCCTGTATAGAGATGCTGTAAATGAGATGCTACCTGTAAAAGCAGGTAGCTTTCCAACCACAAACAGGTACTTCTAGACTCTTCCCTCTTACAAACAATGCTCTTCCCTACATTCTGTGCAGATTCCTTCAATGAGTTCCTCAGGTTTCCAATGGCTACATTCAGATGCCATGGGCTCTTGTTTTCAGACATGCTCAACACCACTAACTCCCAGTAATTTAAAATGCACTGGGAGATACATCAGTACCTCTTGAAAGTCAGGCTTTTTCAGTTTGTATTTGATTGCCCCAAGATAGACCTTCACACCTGAAAAATGTTGTCCAACAGCATCTAAGATTGCAAACACCAAAATGGAGGCTCCCAAATTTCAATGCAGCTTTAAAACTTGGCTTTGGGTATCTAAATATCCTAAAACTCTATACCCGTAACAGGACACTGAAATGGTTTTACTTGTAAACCAAAACCCTGTTGGGCTGGGATTCTTTAGTAGTAGGACCTGCACTATTTGTTTATCTATTCGAATTTATATCCTGCCCTATCCAAAAGACTCAGAATTCTGCCATACACCCACCAGATCCCATAGGAACAATTCAGCATTAGTAAAGGAGAGGAATCATTTTGGATACCTCTTCTATGTCTAATTGCTGTGATTCCTATCTCCAAGGCTGTTCTCTGGTGTTAAAGATTTCTATGCTGTGGACTTGCATATCAGTTGGTGTTTGTCCTTCATATCAGAAGAAGAGTAAAAGTTCTTAGTATATTATAATCACTTTAGGGGTGTGTAGATATATATAATCACAGGGTAAGAGATGTCAATTTGTCTTTCATTTCTGTGAGATATACTCCATGCGCCTGATTCAAACCCAGTGAAGCAGCAGTATAGTGACACAGTACCACCTGGGATACAAGGGTAGTGTCAACTTCTGGTTGTCATGCCACTGGCACAGTTGGGATCACTTGGCTACCAGTGGCAGCTGGAGTTTTTTTGGCTCCTCCTAAGCTGACACCTGGGGCGGTTGCCCCAGTCATCTCTCCTGAGTTAAGCCAAGTCTTTCCACTGACTTCAGCTAGCTTGGGTTCAAGCTTTCGACACCTTTTAGTCCACAAGGAGTTAAGCACAGAGTTTTGTATCAAGCTGGTAGTCCTCTAATTGTGATATCAAACACAATTAAGTAGTAAAATTCCTTAAAAATGCCATCCCTTCTATGTCACACTGATGATAAATTGTTTGATAATGTAAAAGCCAAGGACATATCCAAAGTCCATTATTACAGACATGCCAGGAAGAGCACAAACATACTTGATTAACCACTCTTAGTTTTCAGTCCAGAATGATGTTGGGGAAAATGGAATAAGGAACAAAGTTCCTTACTGCAAACTTTCTTGATTAATCCTTGTAAAATATAATATTGTATCTCAGTTTTGAAGTTGGTCCTGAAGCATGCAGTTTTAATATCCAATCAACTGCTGAAAGTGTAAACAATATTTAAGAAAGTCTAGGTAGTCTTCTATTTTTCCATAGGTGAAGAATATAAATATATCATGCAGTGAAACACTGCTCAGATGTGAAAGATGAAACAGATTGAAATATACAGAGGGGTAGGAAATGGTTTTCCTAGCTTGTAAAACTTTACTATTACAAATATGTTGATGTTCTGCATCAGGAGGAAACCATGACCTTTCAAAAGTTTACGGCAAAGAGGAACACTCATCCAGGATAGCTAATAGCCCTGTAGATTCTCAGTGCTCACCTGGGTTTAGAAAACTTAGGTTCAAGTCTTTCCTCTACACTTCTCCCACACCCCATGTGAGCAAATGCTTTGTCAGCTACTGTGGGCTATGCCTCTATCACTGCCATGCTGATCCCAGGTCCACCACTGAGAAACCCTACCTACCCATTCCTGCTCCTTCTCCAAGCTAGAAGTTGGCAGGATAGCTGAGAGTGGTGTGTCAGGCTTGGGCACATACAGAATGGGAACATGGGGGGCTGTTTGTTTCTTAGGTGAGGTCCTGAACTTAGCAAGGATGCAGCATAAATACAAGTTTAGTCCTTCTAGTTGAAGCTGGCCCACTTTCTAGAGTTAACTCCAACTGAGTTAACTCCAACTGACATCACTATGAAATGCACCCACCTATCAGAGAAGAAATGCACCCACCTATCAGAGAAGATAACTCTATTCAAGTTCTTATTCCCTATTTTTATATGACCCAGAGTTTCTGAACTAGAACTCTGCAAAGAAGGAAACCTCACAAATAAAGGCAAAGAAAATGTTTTCATTCACAGGTGGAAACTTATGAAGCACAGAGCACCCCACAACTCTGCCCTGAGTTATACCTACTTGCTTATATCCATGTATTATTTGCTCATTCCATTAAACAGTTTAACCAACGGTTCTCAACCTTTTTAGACTCAAGACACCCCTTGTTAGACTCAAGACACTTCTAAGAAAATGCCAGCTCTTGGCTTCCACTCACTGTCTGACTATAGAAAAATAATAGAACAATTGTTCTGTTGCAAAGAACTCAAAAAGATCACAACAGGTCAATGGTTTTGATACTCATTCCTTTTTGAAATCTGTGGGTTTACCTTGCAAATCTTGTTTGAACACCTAATAATGCTAACATCCATAGCAAGCTTGAAAGGACTTCAAGGCACCCAAGAGTGCCACAGCAAACTGGTTGAGAATTACTTCTTTAGGCAATAATAAAAGCAGGGTCTGGAATGCAAGTAATACTTGTGTTATAAATGGGTGATCTTTGCATTTTAATCATGTGAAAATTAAAATAATAAATTCCTGTCACACTGTACCATCATAATCTAGGTATAAGCATTTTGTCTGTCTGGAATATGCCACAGACATGCCTATTTAAACAACGTTCTTTACCCCCCCTTACCCCGCCCAACAATCATTGGTACTCCAGCTGTCCAGTAAATATGGACCAGCTCTTGTTCCACTGACCTAAGGTTGATCCTATTCCACCCATTAGCATGCCTATTTTTATATCATGCCATCTTGTTAGCCTCAAGACAAAGTCACAGAAAGCAGAGAGAGGGAGTAGGACACACCCAACTTCTGTGCTAACCATTTTTCAGAGACTTGAGTAGAGTGGAATAGGATCAGACTTGGGAGCCTAAATTTCCTGAGGCACCAAATAGGTTGAATACTGGATTTTGTCCTCAAAGTCCAGCACTGGGATTTGTAATTCAAAAGAGGATGCCTTGTTTTGGTTTCTTTCCTATCTCCTCCCCACCTCCCCCCCAAACATTTAAACCTAATTTCAAGCCTTCCACATGCAACATTCTTATGTTGGACATTTCTTTCCCAGGATCAGGTCTGATTCACTGAAATAAGTGTTTCACCCATGTGAGTCCAAGCCTCTTTTTAACCAATTGCATATTCTAAAGTCTCAGTGGGCATCCCCTGGAAAATCCTGTGCCTCAAGGACTGCATTGGAATACATCTTGCCAGATGAAGTGTGCCCCTCATGGCATGAGAGTCTGTTCCTTGATTTTAGAAAAGTGGTTTGAACTCTTCCCACAACCGAGTATTGCATTAAAAGCTAGCGTGTGTGTGTGTGTGTGTGTGTGTGTGTGTGTGTACCTGTATGCGCATGTGTGTGTGTGCATGTGCAAATGTGCAGGTGAATGCATGCATACTATCCTTAGATGCATAATGCCCAATGTATTTTTCTTGTAGATGTAACCAAGAAGATGCCTGATTATAAGTACACTGCACAAGATATGGGCATTTTAGGTGGCACCTTAGCAGCTTTGCTGATCCTTGCCTTATTTTTCATTGGATTCATTTTCTACAAGTTCCACAGAAATCCAGTCTCATCAATCACCAAAAGAAAAGTAAGTGGTTAATTTGTAACTCACTCATTTCAAGATTGCCATTGAGATAGGAAATAATGTCGGGGTGGGGCGTGTATGTGGACAGACCAGGGAGACAAGATATAAGCAATCTCTGACGTGCTCTGCTAGGGTGACAAAGCTGCATCATTTCAAAGGAGGCTTTGATTATGCAAGCCACAGCAATGTGAAGACAAACACGAGATACTGGGGCACATCTATGCCCTTGCCAAATGGTTTGCAGATGTGTTAATCTTGAATATGCCCATCCACCCTTGCCAGACCTGGAAATGAGGTAATGAAACTGGTCTGAGAGTGCCTCTACTCAGCCACACCAGAGACCAGATCTTAAGGGCAACAGATCTGAGGCTTCACCACCTCATTGCAGGGTTTGGTGTTTGTATATATCAGGAATAGGTAGATGAAGCATGCTTCTTGGCAGCAATCTCAGATGAGGCATGTTTCTTGGCAGCAATTTCAGGAGAACTGCAGAAGCAGTGTACGCACACTTTAAGGGCCAGTGGTCACTTTTGAATGCTTGGGCTTTCACCTGCTGAAGCTTTGATTATCCCTATACCTACCAAAACAAGGCTGATACTTCTATTACGGATGGCTTCTGCTTGTTGCACTAAATTTGCTAACATATGTAGCAAGTCTGGGGTGGAAGATACCCGAGAAGTACAAAACATGACAACATGCTTCTCACAGAGGTCCTTTGACTTCCAAGAGTGGGACTGGTCAATTCATACTGAAATCCTGCAACTCAGGCAATTGCTGCAAGCATCTGAGATAAAAGGGGTTGACCCAGGTCATGTTTTCCAGAGGAATAAACACATCCCAGCAAATGCCCATGAAAATCTAAAATTCAGTAACAGCTACTAGACATGTGGGGGGGGGGGGGG